ATTTTCTGCTAAGAAAAAAGAGAACAAAGAGAACAAGTCTGCTCTTGATTTCAACCCTGTTCTTCTCCCATGAACTGCTGCATGACCATAAAATCCTGCAAAATTGTGCAATTCAACAAGATCATTTCTGGTTGTGCTAGCCATTCTTGTCACTTCAGGCATTAACAATTCTGATAAAAGCCATGAAAGCTACAAAAATGCCAATCTGCTATTTGGGGGGGGGGGGGTTACAGTTTTGAAATAGGGACAGAAAAAATAAGATCTTTGCAACCAGATAGACTCAGAATATATATTATACAATATACATTATATTATATAATATATATAATATAATATAATATGTATTAAATAGATACGGTATTCCAGTATTTGAGGGGCTGCCACTAAGAGGAAAGGGTCAGTTTATTTTCCAAAGCACCAGAAGGCAAGAGAAAAAAACAATGGATGGAAACTAATCAAGGAGAGAATTCCAACTTGGAATTAAATAGAAACTTCCTAACAGTGAGAACAATTAACCAGTGGAACAGCTTGCCTTCAGAAGTTGTAGGTGCTTCATCACTGGAGTTTTTAAAGAAAAGAGTGGACAGTCGCTTGTCTGAAATGGTGTAGGGTCTCCAAGCTCCCTTCCAGCTCTATTCTGATTGATTGATTGATTGATTTACAAATAAATATTATTAGTCTATTAACCTGGCTAACTGATTCAATATTAATTCAACATCAAATGAAGATGGGGACCATAGCAGTTTGCTTTCTTTCCCTTTCTAGGATTAATTTATTATCATTCCAGGAATTGTAGTTCATCAAATGGGATCTATTTGGTCAACAATGACTGGGTGATGATGGTATCTGCCATTTCTCAGTAATTCAAGATTGCCAAACTATTTCTGACAGTCTTCCAACTGCTTTTAAGGGACTGGAGGGGAAGGAGGTTGCGGTTTAATATTGCACATCTGCTGTTTGTATTATGGCGATTGAACATAAAGCATCAGGCACTTTTTTAAAAAAAATTGATTTATATGCCGCCCTTCTCCGGAAACTCAGGGCGGCTTACAATGCGTTAAGCAATAGCCTTCATACTTTTGTATATTTATACAAAGTCAGCTTATTGCCCCCACAATCTGGGTCCTCATTTAACCTACCTTAGAAAGGATGGAAGGCTGAGTCAACCTTGAGCCTGGTAAGATTCGAACCTCCAGTAATTGCAGGCAGCTGTGTTAATAACAGGGTGCTTTAAACCACTGTACTACCAAGGCACTTCTCAGCGAAGCATAAAATGCAAAATGCAATGCAATGTAGCAATGTATAAACAGTACATTTTTAAAATAGTTTTTTTATTTAATTTATCAGAATATAAGATATAACTTCCTCTTAGCTAACTCCATTGGCAAGTGTCAAGCAACTTGGGATGGGTGCTTTCCAATTTTCCTTAACTATGCAAAGAAAGAGTTAAGCCCTACTATCATAAATACAAGAAAAAAAACATAGACATGGAGTGCCTATTTGGATCATAATAAAGGAATTAAAGAGATGGCAACACATTTATATGATATAATCTTACAAATGGTGAAAGACCTGGTGAGATATGCTAGTATAATCATCAGCATCTTAAGGAATGGGTTCTCAAAGGAAAACTCAACGATGAGATTACATCCAAGGTAACGGTCATGCTACGGAGGATGAACAAAGAGATGTAATAAATAGTCTAGAAAATTGTGATGCAGAATTGGAAGTCCCTTGGGGTAATAGAATCCCAATTAAGACTATGACAAAAGAAACTGGTCCATATTGAACAACAAAAATATGCTTTGTTATATTGTTGAATTTAGAAATCCCAAAGTGAGTGGGATTGTCTTGAATTATTTTATTTTTAACCCAACAGTCACACTTATTTTCATATTTAAACTATATTTAAACATCCTGTTTTTTGGATATTTTTTTTAGAACACATTTAATCATGACCCGAAGAAGCAGTGGGAGCATTCTCTGCATTTGTTCAAAGACTATTCTATATGGCAAAGCAAGATAATATGGGACAGAAATTCATTTACTCATGATCAAAATGAGTGAGTGGAACCCAAAGCATTTTTATTTCATACTTCCACAAATCTCTTGCACCAATGTGATATTCCATAACTAAACTATTCAACAAATGATTGTGCCATGATAGCTTCCCTAAAAAGGAAAAAGGGACTTGTCATGTGAAGTGCCAAGGGTTTATGTTAGGAGGAGGGACATTCTGGATTCTGAAGGAGTCTGTCCAGAGGTGGGTTTCAGCAGGTTCTGACCAGTCCTGGAGAATCAGTGGTGGAAATTTTGAGTAGTTCGGAGAACCGGTAAATACCACCTCTGACTGGCCCCATCCCCATCTATTCTCTGCCTCCCGAGTCCCAGCTGATCAGGAGGAAATGGGGATTTTGCAGTAACCTTCCCCTGGAGTGGGGTGGGAATGGAGATTTTACAGTATCCTTCCCCTGCCATGCCCATCAAGCCACGCCCCCAGAACCAGTAGTAAAAATTTTTGAATCCCACCAATCTGAGTGGCCTTATGATTAGATCACCATTCATTATCCAATCACAGTGTCTTAAAGAAGGAAAGACCCTTGGATTTAGGGAATATACTTATGACCAACTCTACCTCACCATGACTGTTACATATATCATATTATAAGAAGTTGTAGTTTTATGAACAGCATTAATCTGCTATATAAGGTAGTGATGGCATAACTGCTACAGATGAGGTAACTGGAATAGTGAGGGGCAGCAAATAGTTACGCTGCAGATTTCACAAGATCACTGCCTACACGCAGTGTTGGGAAGTCCCAGTGTGAAGTCATTGCTTTCCAAGGAAAATAATTTAGACTCTGATTGTTATTTCAGTAGAAGATAGAATACATCATTCATGGTTGAACTGTGGAGTCTTTGCTATTCTCTGGGCTTTGTGTTCTCTGAACTAAGTCTATTATTCTAGATGTAAAGAGGAAATTGTGGCAGAATTTAATCCATTAAAGCAAATTGCATCATAATGCCTCTTTTATATGAAAACTTCTAAAAACTTATCGGTATCCTTGTACTTTTACAAGAAGGATTTCCTTCTCTTTTATAATTCTATACTCAAAACATGAATTGGTTGAGATATTTTGGGTATGTCTCTCTCTGTGTGTGTTTTGTCCAAGATCAAAATGCAACAATATGTATGTAACAAAGTGGGTATATAACACAGTTGTTCCTAATATTCCTGCTGGTATCTGACATTATTTAAATGAGATTCTGATTTTGTTTAAACTCTTCACTCATTCTGTAATGGTTTTGCTAATACTAATAAAATATTAGATTAAGTTAACTGTACTGGTTAAAACATCCGGCTGAAAACTGGGAAACCATGAATTCTAGTCCCACCTTGGACACAAAACTAGCTGGGTGTGTCATTGTTTCTCACCCTTAGGAAGGAGACAAAGGCCAACCACTTTTGAACATCTTTTCAGGAAAATTGCAGGAACTAATAGGAGTTAACACTGACTCAAAGGCACATAATAGAGGGCGGGGGGGAGAAGATTGTGATATCAGAAATGCCTGCTAGAAATGATCTTTCCCTTGATTGGCAAAATCACCCAGTCATGATTTTGATTGTGAAAAATCATATAGAATTTGGGGGGGGCATCCAAAATGCATAACCAGGTTTTTTGGGGGAGGGGTATATTATCAAACTCAGAACCAATGGTGAAATCTGAACAGGTTTACTACCGGTCCGCTGGCTGCGTATGTGCAGTGCGCACCACGCACCAAATGCCAGGTGCACGCGCACAGTGCATGCCAAAAGGAGGCATGCGGTAAGTAGAACAGCAGGCGAGGGGGGGGGGTTATCAGCTGTGGTGCGCAATCTTTTTTTTTTTTTTTTTGCTTTTAAAAGTAAAAAAAAAAGCCTCTGACGATCGCGCGGCTCAGCTGTGATCGTCAGAGGCTCTTTTTTTACCTTTTAAAAGCATTTTTTTAACAACTTCTTCGGCCAAAGAGGTTGTAGAAAAAATGCTTTTAAAAGTTAAAAAAAAAGCCTCTGATGATTGTGCGGCTCAGCTGGGCATGGGGGGGCAGGACAGGGATTTTTGCTACCGGTTCTCCGAACCACCTGCCTCCATCACTACCGGATCAGGCGATCCGGTCCAAACCGGGAGCATTTCACCCCTGCTCAGAACCCTCTTCTCTGTTTGAATGAAGCATTATTCTTAGCCGGCAGGTACATAGAGCTCAAATGAGAAAAAAATCATCCCAATGCGGTAGGACAATGCCAAACAGCTTGGCTTTCCAAGAAAGAAATCAACCATGGTGATTTTATTGAGAAACACATTTTAATAACATAAACTTTAACAAATAATACATTATAATAAGTTACATTAAATTAAATTAACTCAAAAAATAATAAGATACAAAGAAATTCTAGATGTTAATGGGAAACTCAAATCACGACAAGAGCTCAAGGACCAGGGGATAGAAATAGACTATATAAATAGATAAAAATAGACTATATAAATAGATAGTTTATTAATACAAACTAGATATAAAAAAGACAGTGAAGAAGGAGGAGTTGATATAAAATCTAACCAATTAGATAAATTATTAGAAATTAAAGAAGGAAAATTAATTTCAAAGATTTATAAATACCTATTAGAGTTCGACCTGGCAGAAGACATAGTCAAAGGCCAAATGATAGCTTGGGCAAGGAACATTGGAAGAAGTATACAATTAGAAGAGTGGAAATGATATGGGAAAATAATTGTAGAATAACAAAGGCAACAACGTACAAAAAAAACCACTATAAGATGTGATATAGGTGGTACCTAGCCCCTGCTAGATTGGCAAAAATGTACCCAAATTGTAATCCGATATGTTGGAAGTGTAGAAAATCACTGGGAACTTTTTATCATCTTTGGTGGCTTTGCCCAAAAATTAAAAAATTCTGGATGAAAATTAGAATATGGATAACAGAAATAACAGAAGAAGAGATCGACCTAAAACCTGAATTTTTTTTTATTAGGCATATTCAAAAAAAGTAGTAGAAAAGAAATAATATACATCACACTACATATAATTACGGCGGCCAGACTAACCCTAGCCCAATCCTGGAAATTAGAACAGTTGCCAACAGAACAACAAATAATTCAAAAAATATTCACATGTGCAGAAATGGATAGATTAACTTTAAAATTAAACAACAAGGAAGACTTACAGTATTATAAAATATGGAACAGATGGTATGAATGGATCAGTCGAAAGAAAAAAAATTAAAGTCAAATACAGTAAGAAATTAAGGATAACAAAATTACACCATCATTAAGGAGTCAAGGTTAATGTATATATGTATTTACATGTTTAAATATAGATAGATAATCCTGTTTGTCAGTTTTAGTATATATGTATATTTAGTATATTTAGTATATATATGTAATTTAGAATTGTATCTTCTTTTTTAGAGTTAAGAACGTTTTGTACAATCTTTTATCTCTTTATATTGAATAAAGTTTGTTTTTAAAATAAAAAAAAATTAAATTCAGTCTTGAAATTCTCCCTTATGAAAACATCATGATGGTGTTTTTATGGCTCAAAAGCAGAGAATACCCCAAGTATACACCATTAACTGACAAACATCAGCTAGTTCTTGAGAGCTAGGATGAATGGATTCCACAGTTCTTGGCTCCTTTGTCTTCTTCTTGACATATCACTGGCAACCCAGCCAGCTATTACTCTTCTTTATGCCCAGAAATCTCTTGGTTGCAGAGTCAAATTCATACTGCTTTGGACCACTGAATAAATAGAAGTGTCCTAAAAGAGTAAACAAGATAGGTAATTAAAAAAGTGCAGCTGGTTCCCAGCTATTTATGAAGTTTTCATCTGTCTTGTTTCCCTTTCAGTTTTGAAGGAACTTTACTAGCATCCCTAAAATATATGCAAAATAAATAATTAGAATGAGGAACTGGCCATTTCACAATGATTCATTTTTCTAGTGTACAGTGTCCCTTTTTCAGAATAAGTGTTGCACCTGGAAAGGTGTGTGCTCTCCATAAACTTTATGTTGGGCCAACCTAACTTTATGTTAGGTTGGGCCTAGACCAGGGGTGAAATCCAGCAGGTTCTGAAAGGTTCTGGAGAACCGGTAGCAGAAATTTTGAGTAGTTCGGAGAACTTGCAAATACCACCTTTGGCTGGCCCCAGAGTGGGGAGGGAACAGAGATTTTGCAATATCCTTCCTCTGGAGTGGGGAGGGAATGGAGATTTTGCAGTATCCTTCCCCTGGAGTGGGGTGGGAATGGAGATTTTGCAGTATCCTTCCCCTGCCACGCTCACCAAGCCATGCCCACCAAGCCACACCACGTCCATCAAGCCACACCACGCCCACCAAGCCACGCCCACAGAACCGGTAGTAAAAAAAAATTAAATTTCACCACTGGTCTAGACACATAAATTTATGGGGCCAAGATAAACATTCAGTTCGATTTTCTTTCACTTAGAAGTCAACTCTGATTAAAGTTAAAAAAATAGTTTACATGGTTATATTTAATAATGCTCCCTTTTTCTGTCACATTAAAATTACACATCTGTGGTAACTTTGGTTCTTGGGACTGCTTATGGTTATGGTTTGTGAATGTAACTGGCAGTGCTGGTTCTATCAATTGTCTAAGAACATTTAAATTTGATAAACCGATAGGAGGCATTCAGCATTGCAATGCTTTTTAGGAAATCAGTTGCTGGATTTTGGGTATAACTTTTTTGTACTTGAAAACTAAGAGATTTAGTAAGTCACAGAGTTTTTATCCAGAAAACTACTGAAGAGGCTTTTCCTTGAGATGAAGAAACATTGAGACCAGTTATGAGGATTAAATTCAATTGTCTGATTTTCCCTCATTAAACTAGTAAATCTACGGCTATTCCCAAAGACTTTCATATTATATCACTATTGAACACATAACAGTTTCCTATTTCATAACTGACAGCTACAGAATGTTTTTCGGGGTCTACTTTCTTGAAATTTGGCATGATCACCTTTAATTAGTATTATTATTTATTTGTATCCTGCCTTTACCATTTTTACAAAACAGCTCAAGGGCAGCAAACATATTCAGCATATCTTCCTCCTCCTATTTTCCCCACAACAATCCTTTGAGGTGGGTTGGGACTGAGAGAGAGTGACTGGCCCAAAGTCATTCATGGCATTCATGGCTAAGGCAGGATTAGAACTCACAGCCTCCTGCTTTCTAGCTTGGTGCCTTAACTGCTAGAGCAAGAAAATATGTTCCAAACTAGTAGTGGGGGAACTCAGCATTTCATTTATTTATATTAACCCATTTTAAAATACTACATAAAGTCTTCCACAAATTGATACTGATCAGTTCTGACTTAATTTTTCCAATATCACTCAATATTAAAAAAAAAATGCTGGCCCCTGCTATGACAAATGAGACCCCAAACCCATCTGAAATTTAGCTGATTTTGATTGGTCCATTCTGAATTCTGAATGAACAACAGATTTTGATTAATCATCTTACCATTATCTATAAAAGCAGCATCCACCTTGGAGCGAATGTTATGGAAGTCAGCTGTTATTTTTCTTGGATATCCTTGCTCCATGGAGTTCTTTTCATCATCATACCTAAAGAAGGACGAGGAGGAGAAGAAGGAGGAGGAGGAGGAGGAGGAGGAAGAATGATTTAGAAATTCAAATTGCTTCAAGAATCCATATAACTTTCTATATTGGTATCACAAGCTAGCATACTTGTTAGCTTTGTATAACTTCTAGAATCAAAGGTTGCATAACATTTGGTTTAGTGGTCAAGTCTACTTTTAGCTACAGAGATTCATGAAGTGTTTTTGAATTATTCTGTTTCTCATCCTGACCTATCTCACAGAACAGTTGCTGCTGAAGAAAAACGGACAAGAGTGTTATTTATGCTGTCTTGAGCTTCTGGTGGATAGGTAAAATATTTTATTTATTTATTTTATTTTTATTTATTTAGTATGTCAAACATGTTTAAGATAACAGATATAAGTATAAATATGACTATGAATACAGGAAATGGATACAAATAAAATACATATCTAATGACCGTAAAAATAATGATCTACATAAATGTTCATTGTCATGTGGTTTTTTTGAGGCATTTAGATCATTGTCATATGAACAATGGTCAAGATTGGTTTTTAGCCTACTCAAGAGCTCTTACATTTGAAGATCAGTGTGTCCAATGAGATGATTTCTCTCTGTCCCTTTCCTTAGTCTATAGTGAAGGTAAAATTTTCCTTGTTCACTTGTGTCTGATTCTAGGACATGTGCTCATTTCCATTTCTTGTCTGAAGGAGCCAGCATTGTCCAAAGATATTTCTTGGTTGGGGGAGCCAGCACTAGTGGTGGTACCTATTAATCTACTCACATTTGCATGCTTTTGAACTGATATGTAAAATACATCAGAAATCGACCTGTGCCACAAGTTAGTTTTAATGAGCATCTAAGTTATTTATTTATTTATTATTTATTTATTAGTCCAATTTATATGCCGCCCTTCTCCCTAGACTCAGGGCGGCTTACAATGCATCATAGCAATAGCCTACATACTTTTTTGTATATACCTGCTTATTAGGGCTTTCGGCTCCCCCTAAGCGGTGTTGTTCTATACAAAGTTGGCTTATTGCCCCCACAGTCCGGGTCCTCAATTTACCTACCTTGAAAGGATGGAAGGCTGAGTCAACCTTGAGCCTGGTGAGATTCGAACTTGCACTAATTGCAGGCAGTTGGCAGCTAAATGCTAGCACTTAACAGCACTTTAGTCTGCTGCACCACCGAGGCTCTTTTATTAAACTGATAAGAACAGATACTACACTTGATCTTAGCCAAAAGGCCAAGAAGTGATAAGTTATTATACAGTGTTTGGTATAAGATTTATTGTATTGTTTATTTACAATACTTTGTTATGTTTTTAATATCCATATATTGTTTTTACCCCTGTTTTAGATTTTTTAGATCTTTATGTAATATTTTTTTTTGTATTTTTTATGTTTTCATTTTTATCCCACACTCCTTATGCTGGCCTTTGACTGTAATAAAGATTGATTTGAACTGATATATTATAAGAGCACAGTCTAAGGCACAAAACAAAAATGTAAGCTGAAAGTAATATAATGTTTTGTCTAAGGAGGTGTATCATAGCGTGTTCCACTTTGCTAGAAGATATTCTGTGAGGGTAAAATCCCAGTGGTGGAGGATAATTAAAATTATATCCAACCCAATATAACAAAGCAAGGCAAAGATGGTGCAGGTTGAGCATTTTAGGGTAAGACAAGATCATAAATGTAACATTTTTCTTTTACCTCCAATAACGGTCACCAGAAAAGAAGTATGTTTTCTTTGAATTACTGTCATAAGTTGCTGCATCAACTTTTTTAACAGTGTGTGGGAAGCCCAGACTCTGGATGTTCCTTGGGAAACCATGCTCTATAATATTTCCCCTGGAAGACCAATACTTTTGTCCTGTTAAACAAAAGATAACAAAATGTCTGTTAGAAGGAATGAAAAATTGGTTGGGGAGATGGGGCGTTCAATATTCCAAATTCAGAGAATGAGTTATATAGACATCCATGAGAGTTTGCAAAGGAGGACATTCCTTCAACTAGTAGAGATAGGAATGTGGAAATAGCATGAGGTTTACTGATCAATTCAACCCCCTACTTTTGGAAATAGCAATAAGAAAAATCAAACATAAATCTTATCCCAGCCCACTTTAGTGATGTCACTGCATTACTGCACTAAGGTTGTCTATCCTTGATCATTGACTGGGAGCCCAACAGATGCTACCTTAGGCTCCATGATTGAAGAAAGGTAGAAAACAGATTTGGGGATATACTGGACACCCAAAATAATACATGAGGCAATACCGAGTCCATATTTAGCTCATTTTCTTATATATATATATATATATATATATATATATATATATATATATATATATAATTTATAAGT